GACTTCGGGACATAAATTTTTCAGGATTCTGCCAGCTGTTTGTATCCCTTCTACTCATTAATCATCCATTTTCGCTGCCACAACTCGGTACCTCCTGCTGCTATACCGCCATCTTGCCCTGTGAATTCAATATTTTCACAAATGCCTAAAACTAAACACAGAAATTCAAGAATCAAGAAAAAAGACAACTTCACTTGCCCTCCCCAAGGAATGCAACAAAACATCAAAATCAGAATGTGAAGATTAAGAGACTGAGGAAGTACCTGAAGTGTACTTCAAAAGATTAATTGTAGGATTACTCAGAAGGAAATCCACAAATTAAAGAAATCCTTACATGATGTGAATGAGAAATTATCCCCTGAAATGGAAATTTTCAAGAGAAATCAAATGAAATATTAGAAATGAAGAATTCAACGTGTCAAACAGAAATATATTGGAAAGCCTTAACAACATATTTGGTGAGTCAAAAGAAAGACCATCGAAGCTGGAAGAGAAATCTTTATAAAGTTTTTTGTCAGAACAAAAAAGGAGAGGAAATTATAAAAAATTATAAATGTTGGAAATTTATGTATACTATCAAATGACCCAACAAATGGGTCTGAGAGTTCCTGAAGGTGTGGAAAGATAGAGCCGATGAGAAGGCCTATTCAGTGAAATAATTACAGAAAACTTCTTCAATTTGGAGAAGAAAGGGTTGTCTAAGTACATGAGGCACAATAAAACTCCTTTATAGACATGACCAGAAAGGTCTTCATCACAACACACTGTAGTCAAACTTTCAGCACTAAAACATAGAGAAAAGGTTCCAAAATGTACACAAGAGAAAAGCCAGATTACTTTCAGAGGCTTATCAATTAGACTCGTTGCTGATTTCTCGTACAAAACTCAACAGGCTAGGAGAGAATGGAGAGACACAGCCCATATTAAGAGAAAAGCTTTCAACCCAGAAGACTGTACCCTGCAAAGCACTCACTTATGATGAAAACTAAGCAAACACTTCTCATACATAAAAGAAAGAATTGTCACCACTTGTCCAGCCTTACTAAGATGTTTAAGGATGTCCTACACACAGAAACACAGAAACATAGTCATCACTATGAAAAAGGTGAAGGCAGAAAAATCTCACGGTAAAAGTACAAAGGAAAACCCAAAGCAAACAGAAGGAATATTTACAGAAAAACGGCAGGGCCAAGTCATGACTTATCGATAGTAACCTTGAATGTAAATGGCCTAAACTCTAATTAAAAGATAAAGGCTGGCTAAATGGATTAAAGATAAGACTCATTATTTAATGCCTTCAAGAAACATCCCTCACCAACAAAGATAGACCCAGACTGAAAGTAAGGATGAAAAAAGATATTGCACGGTAACAGAAGACAGAAACAACCATGTGCAGCCATCCTAATATCAGACAACATAGACATTAACATAAAAACTGTTAAAAGAGACAAAGCAGGACACTACGTAATGATTAAGAGATCAATTCAACAGGAATATGCAACTATCATAAAAGTACATGCACCCAATTCCAGGGTGCCAGGCTGCTTCAAATAAATATCAATAGATCTAAAGGGAGACAGAGACTCCAATACACTAGTAATGGGGGTCTTCAACATCCCACCTTTATCAATGGACAGATCAACTAGACAGAAATTCAACAAAGAAACAATAGATGGGCCAAATGGACCTAATTAATATCTATAGAACCTTTCATCCCACAGTAGCAGAATACACACTTTTTTTAAAACTTTTATTTAATGAATATAAATTTCCAAAGTATAGTTTATGGACTACAATGGCTTTTCCCCCCATAACTTCCCTCCCACCTGCAACCCTTCCCTCTCCTGCTCCCTCTCGCCTTCCATTCACATCAAGATTCATTTTCAATTATCTTTATATACAGAAGATCAATTTAGCATATATTAAGAAAAGCTTTCAAGGCCGGTGCCGCAGCTCACTAGGCTAATCCTCTGCCTAGCGGCACCGGCACACCGGGTTCTAGTCCCGGTCGGGGCGCCGGATTCTGTCCCGGTTGCCCCTCTTCCAGGCCAGCTCTCTGCTGTGGCCAGGGAGTGCAGTGGAGGATGGCCCAGGTGCTTGGGCCCTGCACCCCATGGGAGACCAGGAAAAGCACATGGCTCCTGGCTCCTGCCATCGGATCAGCGTGGTGCGCCGGCCGCAGCGCGCTGGCCACGGCGGCCATTGGAGGGTGAACCAACGGCAAAAGGAAGACCTTTCTCTCTGTCTCTCTCTCACTATCCACTCTGCCTGTCAAAAAAAAAAAAAAAAAGAAAAGCTTTCAACAGTTTGCACCCACACAGAAAACACGAAGTGTAAAATACTGTTTGAGTACTAGTTACAACATTAAAACACAATGTACAGCACATTAAGGGCAGAGATCCTACATGAGGAGTAAGTGCACAGTGACTCCTGTTGTTGACTTTACAAATTGACACTCTTGTTTATGGCGTCAGTAATCACCCTAGGCTCTTGTCATGAGTTGCCAAGGATATGGAGGCCTTTTGAGTTCACCGACTCTGATCATATTTTAGACAAGGTCATAGTCAAAGTGGAAGTTCTCTCCTCCCTTCAGAGAAAGGTACCTCCTTCTTGAATGACCTGTTCTTTCCACTGGGATCTCACTCACAGAGGTCTTTCACTTAGGTCATTTTTTTTGCCACAGTGAATACACATTCTTTTCATTAGTGCATGGGACTTTTTCTAGGATAGGCCATATACTAGGCCATGAAGCAAGTCTCAGCATATTCAAAATAAATGAAATCATAGCATGCATCTCCTTGGACCACAATGGAACTGAATCTGAAAATTAAGAACTCAAGAAACTCTAGAACACATGCAAATACATGACTGAACAACATCCTCCTGAATGATCAGTGGGTCATAGAAGAAATTAAAAGAGAATTCAAAAAATTTTGGAAAAATATGAAGAAGACAATGCAACATATCAAAATTTATGGGATACAGAAAAGAAGAGTTAAGAGGGAATTATGTAACAATTAGTGCCTGTATTAATAAATTGGAAAATAACTAAGCAATCAATGTATCTCAAGGACCCAGAAAAATGACAAATCAAATTTAATGTTGGTAGCAGGAATGAAATAATTAAAATTAGATAAGAAACAAACAAAACTGAAACAAAAAAATCACAAATGATCAGTGAAATGAAAATTCTTTTGTTGGAAAAATAAACAAAATTGAAACACCATTAGCCTGAATAAACAACAAAAAAAGTAAACCAAGGAGAAAACCCAAATCATTAGAATCAGAGATGAAAAAGGAAATGTAACAAAAATAGCACAGAAATAAAAAGAATCACCAGGAATTGCTACAACGAGCGAAGAAATGGATATAAACCTGGACACATACAATCTACTAAAAGTGAGGCAGCAAGACACAAAAATCTAAACAGATCAATAACCAAGATGGGAATTCAATCAGTAATAAAGACTATCAACTGGGGGAGCAATCCGGACTAGACTAAGTTACTCGAATTAAGACTTATTCTATGCATCTGCTCTCCCACAATATGGCGCTGGGAGAGAAGTAAACAGCTTCCGCACAGCTGCCTCCAGTTCAACTAATAAACTGTAGGACTTGCTCCTGATTGGAGAGCAGCGTACTCGGCGTGGGCAGCCGAGTTGGGATTGGCGGAGGAGGACTATAAAGGAGGAGAGAGACGGCATGCACCAGGAACATCTATGGGGAACATCTAGCTGAAGGAACACCCGTGCAGCCCCCGAGAGACCCGGCCGGCGGTGTGCCGCTCCCCTGCGGAAGTGGGGAATGTGGCCAGGGGGAACTGCCCTTCCACGGAGGTGGAAGGGATAGTAGCCAACCCGGGAAGAACCAGCAGCAAACCCGGGGAGGGCCGAGCAGACGAAAGAACAGCGCAGGGTCCTGTGTCGTTCCTCCACGAAGAGGGGGAGCGACATAATGGTGCCGTGACTCGGATATGAAGCCTAGGCAGGGTTTAGTGTCGTTCCTCCACGAAGAGGGGGAGCGACAATCAACAATGAAAAGCCCAGCACCAGATGGCTTCACTGCTAAATTCGACCAGACATTTAAAGAACTAATCCCAATTCTTCTCAAGCTATACAAAACAACTGAAAGGGAGAGAATCCTCCTAAACTCCTTCTATGAAGGCAGCATCACCCTAATTCCTAAACCAGAAAAACACAACAGAGAAAGAGAACTTTAGACCAATAACCTGATTTACATAGATGCAAAATCCTCAACAAATACTACCTAATCAAACCAGCAACATATCAGAAAGATCATTCATTCAGAGAAAGCAGGATTTATGCCTGGTATGCAGGGTGCTTCAACTTTGGTTCAGCTCAACTCTGGCCATTGCAGCCATTTGGGGAGTGAACCAGCAGATGGAAGAAGTCTCTCTCTCTCTCTCCCTCCCTCCCTCCCTCTCTTTGTAACTCTGTCTCTCAAATAATAAAATAAAAATCTTTCTTTAAAGAAAGAAGAGAAGAAATTTCGATGGCCAGCAGACACATGAAAAAATGTTTAGGATCACCACCAGCCATCAGGAAAGTACAAATCAAAGCCACAATGAGGTTTCACCTCAGCCCTCTTAGAATGGCTCTCATATAAATCAAAAAACAGTAAATGCTAGTGAGGATGTGGAAAAAACAAGTATACCTCCACATTATAACAGAAAGTCCTGCCCACTTGTTAAAGTATGCTGGATTTTGAGATCTTAGTCTTTCTGTAACCAAAGCAAAGACAATCAAGTGAGAAGATCTGCTACTCAGGGGTGTTGTTCAAGCATGAGGATTCACTACGCAGTAGCATCACAGTGTCAGCAAGAGGCACACCGCCTTGTTATGTGAGTGACATGGCTTGCCTAATTAAGAGCTCTCTTGTCACAATACCCAGAATTATGGCACAGTTCACCAGGGCCTGACCCAAGGCATCTACTTGTGTGCACCATGCTGACTCCATCACTTGGAGCAGTTAGTACTCACATGGCTCCCATGCTCTGTGCGTCCTCCTTTTGTAGCCCTGGCTTTCCTGGATGACGTCCCCAGCGCTGTGCTGGCTTCATCACACAGGGGAATAGCAGTAGCCCTGGATGAGGAAAAGAGGTGAAGAGAACTGTACAGATGGCTCCGAGGGACAGCCCCTCTGTCTTGAAGAAATTGCAGGGTCTGGCTCATGAGCAGCTCTTGGGACCTGGGAACTCTCACCATCTTCTCTAGCATTCCCTTGGGATGATGTCTTAGGCACTGGATTCTCCTGCTGAGTCCTGGCAGATAATTCTCACCTCCTTTGAAACCCATGGCGAGGGCCTCTTGGAGAGAACAGCAGGTATCCTGGGATGGAGTCTGAAAGGACAATGTCAGACAGGGGCTGTGGCAAAGAGTTCACAAGGCATTTTTCCCAATCAGCTGCTCCACATCTACCTTGACATACCCTCAGTGATTGAATCAGGACCTGGCTGTCAAAGATACCCCGACAATCCTTACCCCTTGGACACTTTCACAACATGTTTCTTTCCCTTAGAGCCCCTACTTGATTGCAGTGCTCTCCATTGCTGTACAAAGGTTCAGTTCCTGTTCTCAAGCAGGTGATTTTAAATAGCTTTGCTCCTGGACATCTGTGTTGGGAAGTTCCCTGCAGGCACAGAATTATGTGTGAGTTCCTGAGACAGTCCACTGTAAAGAGGCACTGTGAGGCTGGTAAGAAGGCTTATAGATGGATAGGGTTTTGGGAAATCCAGTATCCAGGAAGGCACAGCATCTTGTAACATGGACAGTGTGAGGTCTGATATACCTGGGCTTAGAAAGGGTGGATGTAACCTATCCAGGGCAAAACTTCAGACCTGGCCTGACTATGAGGATCTAACTTTGGAGTGTCAGAGTCAAGCTTAAAGAAAAATAATCACCTGATCGGAGATTTTCCTGAAAAGCATCATTAATTATCAGTTCCATCACTGTTACAGATTTTCTTAAATATCTTTCTGTCACACTGGGCTACCATTCCAGAAAAGATCCTTAACTAACACAGATTTAATCATGAAAGAAAATGAATCTTAGACTTTTAACTACCAAGAAAGCTCTAGCGCTCCCTGATATCCTTGAGATTAAGTACACTGTCCAACCTAAAGTGCCCATACATTTGCTACTAGACATGTGGTTCTGAAGCAAATTCAAACTTGTAGTGAGAGAAAGTCCTAGAAACACAGGTAGAGTGTGATATCGAGGAAGGAAGGGGATGTCCCCATGGAAGTACAGACCAGTTGCCCTCAGTATGTAGGTCTAATATACAGTTAACTATAGAATTTTGGTTTTATTTTTGCATCCCCAAACACACATCAGAAAATGTTGTCCCAAATATACTGCATCTTTCGCAGATTCTGGAACAAGAATTCTGGATTCTAAACTAGCCTTTGCCTTTTACTAGCTGTGCGATCTCAATCTCTTACTCTCTCTGAGCCTATTATTTCTCAGCCAACAACACTCTACATAAATCAGTTACCATATGTAAAGCAATGGAAGCAGTATCTGGTTGAGAACAAGTGTTATATCAATGATGAGCTACTATAAATAGGAATCACAGTATTTCAGAAAGTGGGGTTCAAACAATCAGTCAGAAAAAATTCTGAGAGACAATGACACTGAAATGAAAGGCGAAATAGCAAGAGTTAGGCAGGGATAGAGGGTGGGGCAGCAGAAGGGGGTGTCCCAGGAAGGAACAATAATGTTCAGTCTGTGGAAGGGAGGGGACAGGACCAGGGCATAATCATGTTTCTATCTGTGAGCCATTGCCCACGTTCTGTGTTCTCTATGTTAAACAAATATAAAGGAGAACCTTAGCATCCTTAGCACAAAGGCAAGATATAATGAAGACTGCATAAATGTACCCACAAGTCAATGGCAGTATTCAGTCTCCCTTGTGGAGCTGGATCCAGTCCCTGCTCCTCCAGAGCAGAAAAACGAGAGTCAACCATGGGGAGCTTTCTAGGCTACACTGGACATAAAGGAATCCACTTTTTGGGTCTGTGGAGATGAAGTGTGCTAGTCTGAGAGAGCCCTGGCTGAGAGGCTATAGTCAGGCATCACATCCACAGGTGACCACCTCCAAGGGCACTTCTTGGAGGAAAATATATATGGCTCTCCCACTTGTCTCTTGCTCCTGGCACACTTATTTCAGTGAAATGAATGAAAAATGTTTTCCCAAGGACTGATGGCAGATGCTTTACACATTAAAAAAAAAAAACCAGTGATCTGGGGCTGGCGCCATGGCTCACTTGGTTAATCTCTGCCTGTGACACTGGCACCCATATGGGCACCGGGTTCTAGTCCTGGTTGCTCCTTTCTAGTCCAGCTCTCTGCTGTGGCCCAGGAGGGCAGTGGAGGATGGCCCAAGTGCTTGGGCCCCTGCACCCACATGGGAGACCAGGAGGAAGCACCAGGCTCCTGGCTTTGGATCGGCACAGTGCCAGCTGTAGCGGCCATTTGTGGAGTGAACCAATGGAAGGAAGACCTTTCTGTCTCTCTCACTGTTTATAACTCTACCTGTCAAATAAATTAAAAAATAAAATAAAATAAAGAAAATCAGTGATATGATTATTGGCTCTGTAGCAGAAGTGAACATTTTGCTTCTGTATAACTTGGTGTGTTCTTCACAGCTATGTTGTAGCATGCTGGAGCTTGAGCAGATCTGCCCTGGCCAGCTCTAGGTGGGAACTTTAGAGGGTTATTCCAACTCCCTCTCTTTCTAG